CGGTGGGTGTTGTCCAAAGATTGTTAATCTTCACTTGTGGTTTATGCAAGTATAGGCTTATATATATATATATATATATATATATATATATATATATATATATATATATATATATATATATAGCCTTCTCAGCCTACTATTCAAGGCCCGATTTGCCTAATAAGCCAAGTTTTCATGAATTAATGTTTTTTCGTCTACCTAACCTACCTAACCTAACCTAACCTAGCTTTTTTTGGCTACCTAACCTAACCTTACCTATAAATATAGGTTAGGTTAGGTTAGGTAGGGTTGGTTAGGTTCGGTCATATATCTACGTTAATTTTAACTCCAATAAAAAAAATTGACCTCATACATAGAGAAAAGGGTTGCTTTATCATTTCATAAGAAAAAATTATAGTAAATATATTAATTCAGGAAAACTTGGGTTATTAGGCAAATCGGGCCTTGAATAGTAGGCTGAGAAGTGAGTTCTGGCTACTAGGTCGACATATATATATATATATAAATATATATATATATATATATATATATATATATATATATATATATATATATATATATATATATATATATATATATATATATATATATATATATATATATTACCATCAACAGTGAAAAGAAATGTCCTGAAATATATATATATATATATATATATATATATATATATGTCGTACCTAGTAGCCAGAACTCACTTCTCAGCCTACTATTCAAGGCCCGATTTGCCTAATAAGCCAAGTTTTCCTGAATTAATATATTTACTATAATTTTTTTCTTTATGAAATGATAAAGCAACCCTTTTCTCTATGTATGAGGTCAATTTTTTTTATTGGAGTTAAAATTAACGTAGATATATGACCGAACCTAACCAACCCTACCTAACCTAACCTAACCTATATTTATAGGTAAGGTTAGGTTAGGTAGCCAAAAAAGCTAGGTTAGGTTAGGTTAGGTAGGTTAGGTAGACGAAAAAAACATTAATTCACGAAAACTTGGCTTATTAGGCAAATCGGGCCTTGAATAGTAGGCTGAGAAGTGCGTTCTGGCTATTAGGTACGACATATATATATATATATATATATATATATATATATATATATATATTTATATATATATATATATATATATATATATATATATATATATATATATATATATATATATATATATAATATATATATATAGTTTTACCAGAAGCCTCAGTCGTTAAACCTACCGACAGCACACTACTCGGAGCACCTCTGGGCCACAATGCCATCGCTGCAGTCCTTGACGAAAAGTTTAGAGACGTAAAGAGGATGGAAGAGAGAATTGGGGACTTGGACTCCCACGATGCCCTCTACCTTCTCACAAAGTGCCTTACCTTGCCCAGGCTAACATACTTCTTAAGGTGTGCACCAACTTTGGCAACCCACTTCTACATCAATATGATGAGCTCCTCAGGTCAATATTCAGGAAGGCGCTCAACCTAGATTTAGATGACAGTCAGTAGGACCAAGCAACACTACCAGTGAGATTTGGAGGGATAGGCATACGAAAGGCAACTGAGGTAGCACTTCCAGCATTCTTATCCTCATGTACAGCAGCCAACGAATTGGTAGGGCAGATCCTACCAGAGCGTATAAGAGAGGACAGCGGGAACTCATGATCAAACGTTCATCGAAGCAGCCAGACAATGGGACACCATTGCACACCCTCAACCCCGACCACAAGTCCCAAAAGACCACAAGCAGGCCCACTGGGATAGCCCCATAATGGAAAAGACTGTCACAGCAATGATTGACAACGCTGATGCTGAAAACAAAGCCCGCCTCCTAGCGGTAACAGCACCCCACGCCGGGGATTTTTTATTTGCTGTGCCCAATGCAGCCCTGGGAACTCGCCTCAGTCATGACGCTCTCCGCATTGGAGTTGCCCTTCGCCTTGCCGCCCCCATCCTCACCGAACATAGGTGCATCTGCGGAACTGCGATGGCAGACCAATATGGTCGTCATGGTCTGGTATGTCGTAAATCACAGGGTAAAATGTCAAGACATGAAGAAGTCAACGACATCATCAAGAGGAGCCTCGCCACAGCCCTTTGCCCGGCACAAAGAGAACCACACTTATCCAGACCTAACGACCCTCAGAAGCGCCCTGATGGGGTCACCTTGCTGCCTTGGAAGGATGGTAAGCAAGTGGTATGGGACTACACGTGCGCTGCCACACTGGCCAGTACCTACCTCCACTACAGCACACGTGAAAGCGGTGGTGCTGCTTCTTTCAGGGAATCGCAGAAAATTATTAAATACAGAGGTCTAGCACACTGCTACAGCTTTGTTCCGATCGGCTCGGAGACCCTCGGTTCGTGGGGAAAATGTGCATTGAAGTTCCTGAAGGACTTGGGGGACAAATTGATCAGCGCTACAAAAGACCAGAGAGCAAAAAGTTTCTTGTTCCAGCGCCTCAGTGTTGCGATTCAGAGGGGAAATGCCTGTTGCGTCTTGGGCACTAGTCCAACTTCAGAGGAATTCGAAGAAGTGTTTGACTTGCAACAATGATCGAACCCGTCTGTGACATTCATCAATGTTTCCCATTGTTGTGTTTTTCAAGAGATCCATAACCTTTAAGCACCTTTTTGCATTATTATTTTTGTATCAACCCATGTATATCTTGTAACCATCAAATGCATAATAAAGCACAAAACATAAAAAAGGAAGGGGGTGGTAGGAGAAAAGCACACAGAAACTGTATTGGAGGGGATCTAAACATTCCCTCTAATGCGTTATGCGTGGTTTCCTCCGAGGCTATGGGTCCCCCTTCTTCCAGCTAGAGGTGGTACTCCCTTCCATTATATATATATATATATATATATATGCGAACAAGCCTGAATGGTCCCCAGGACAATATGCAACTGAAAACTCACACCCCAGAAGTGACTCGAACCCATACTCCCAGATGCCACGCAACTGGTATGTACAAGACGCCTTAATCCACTTGACCATCACGACCGGACAAAATGAGGTGATAGCCGAGGCTATTTGAACCACCCCACCGCCGGCACTCGGATAGTAATCTTGGGCATAGCATTTTACCAAATCACCTCATTCTTTGGGGCACACGTGAGGAACACAAATGCGAACAAGCCTGAATGGTCCCCAGGACAATATGCAACTGAAAACTCACACCCCAGAAGTGACTCGAACCCATACTCCCAGATGCCACGCAACTGGTATGTACAAGACGCCTTAATCCACTTGACCATCACGACCGGACAAAATGAGGTGATAGCCGAGGCTATTTGAACCACCCCACCGCCGGCACTCGGATAGTAATCTTGGGCATAGCATTTTACCAAATCACCTCATTCTTTGGGGCACACGTGAGGAACACAAATGCGAACAAGCCTGAATGGTCCCCAGGACAATATGCAACTGAAAACTCACACCCCAGAAGTGACTCGAACCCATACTCCCAGATGCCACGCAACTGGTATGTACAAGACGCTTAATCCACTTGACCATCACGACCGGACAAAATGAGGTGATAGCCGAGGCTATTTGAACCACCCCACCGCCGGCGGTGGGGTGGGGTGGTTCAAATAGCCTCGGCTATCACCTCATTTTGTCCGGTCGTGATGGTCAAGTGGATTAAGGCGTCTTGTACATACAGTTGCGTGGCATCTGGGAGTATGGGTTCGAGTCACTTCTGGGGTGTGAGTTTTCAGTTGCATATTGTCCTGGGGACCATTCAGGCTTGTTCGCATTTGTGTTCCTCACGTGTGCCCCAAAGAATGAGGTGATTTGGTAAAATGCTATGCCCAAGATTACTATCCGAGTGCCGGCGGTGGGGTGGTTCAAATAGCCTCGGCTATCACCTCATTTTGTCCGGTCGTGATGGTCAAGTGGATTAAGGCGTCTTGTACATACCAGTTGCGTGGCATCTGGGAGTATGGGTTCGAGTCACTTCTGGGGTGTGAGTTTTCAGTTGCATATTGTCCTGGGGACCATTCAGGCTTGTTCGCATTTGTGTTCCTCACGTGTGCCCCAAAGAATGAGGTGATTTGGTAAAATGCTATGCCCAAGATTACTATCCGAGTGCCGGCGGTGGGGTGGTTCAAATAGCCTCGGCTATCACCTCATTTTGTCCGGTCGTGATGGTCAAGTGGATTAAGGCGTCTTGTACATACCAGTTGCGTGGCATCTGGGAGTATGGTTCGAGTCACTTCTGGGGTGTGAGTTTTCAGTTATATATATATATATATATATATATATATATATATATATATATATATTATATATATATAGTATATATATATATATATATATATATATATATATATATATATATATTATAAATCCATTTAATAAAAAACAGACCTTTTCCTTATATTATTGACTAGTTTTACAATATAGGTTATATCTTCGTATATACTTGCAAATCAAATTCCTATCCCTAGAATTATGTCACAGAACAAATGTAAAAGAAGATTTGTTGTGTTATTGATATATTTTTAAATCAGCAGTTATTTATATATACTATTTTTTGTTTAACAATACAATAGCACAACCCAAGTAATAGTTAATAATAACACAATGATAACACAATAGTTAAGTAACCCAAGCTCGCTGTTAACATCATACATTTTACCTTACATTTTGGTTAATGTTTTCTCCAACGGACTAAGGAAGTGATCAAGCGGTCTATTGACCAACGACACACTGACCACATATGAAATGACTTCAGATTTTAACCAACCTTTCTTATTCGACGCTCCAGGGAGAAGAGGTGAAGCAACGATGGTTTATCATGGGTGGTCGGCCCATAATCTTGACAGCGAGTCAGTGCACAATCACCTTGTTTGATGGCCTCAACGACGGTCTTAGCGCTCTCCCTGATGTCTGAACCCAAGTAGTCGAGCAACCAAGGTAAGAAAATTATCACGAAACTCGACTTTACAATAATTAGATGAGAACTCATAAACAGCATAACTTTCTCTGGTGCGTTGCTCACATCGAGCTTTAGAATGTAAAAAAACATTGTAGCAAAATTGCCAAGAGAAATTGTGAACAGGAAAATTAGTTTTGGCTTTGGACAAATACAGGATTCAGGCCGTTGCTTCCTGTATATTTCTGAACCGCTCAGAGATTTCTCCAGGAGATACATAAGTACTGCAAGATCCTTACTGTGGTAGAGCATCTCCAAGACGGAAATAATAGTTGAAAAGGTCCTACTCTTTACTGTTATAACATAGGCCAAATGACCAATGTTGTGAACATCAAACTGCTCGTGCGTTTTGACGTGGGTGAAGACTCCACACAGAGCCACCATGTTGACCAACAATGTCCACAGACACCAGAAGAGGTGAAGCTCCGGGCGACGAACAGGCAAGCTACTAGACCAGGTGTACGGTATTGAACCATAAACCTGAAGAAACCTGACCAATACTCTTAGAACCTTGACGGGGTTCCTTGATTCCTTAAGCCATGCCATGTTGTGAGTTACAGGGAACGTTAATCCTGTCAAGAGATTCGTCACCGAAGATCCAGAACCAATGTAGACTTTATGAGACCCACCCTGGAGACAGAGCTGCTGTGTCTGTGGTAGTCTGCTCAACTGCCACAAACCGAGTAAAGGGCTTGTGATACACAAACCAACTCTACCAAGTAATGCAAGCGATCAAGAAGCTCATTCATGCATTAATCAATTTCTGTCATAACTCATATTGATCACATAAACGTTCTACAAAAATGTAAAACATTTAATAGCTTACCTGCCTAAGTGAAGAACCTGACAAAATTAGGTTGAGTTGATGCGTTCTGCATCATATACTCGATGACAGTTTATTGTGTTAAACTTAAAGCTCTCCTGCTTGCTGCTTAAGTTGCTTCTTTCCTATTAGTTGAAGCAAGAAGTAGATACAGTTTACTCCCAAGATAAAAATAAATATTTACTGTAGGCGAAGAACTGACAACAAATAAAGTTTGCTCTCATATTTTACTTACTAAACATTCATCTTTTTTTTTTAGTTTTATTACTGGGCATATATTTGTTCTCATTGTTGACCTGTTACATTTATATTTATTAATATTGTTAGTGATTTGTATGCATAATTGATAACATTCTTGTGTCTGTTATTACCGGTCTTGTAGTGAGTATTCTTAACGCTAATTTTACTGCAGGGCTTAATGATAGCAATCATGTAATTCATACCGAAGGCCAAATTTGTAGCGCCATTTTAATATTGTAAGCATTGTCAATACTCCGATGATTTACGTTATGGTCAAATAAGATATTGGAAATGCTTCCCTAGGCATGCGGCTTTTCGTCCGATGAAGGTTCTCTGTATATATTTGCCTCAAGTAGTATGGTTATGTAATGTAAATAATATTAAACTAATTACTGGAAGTTCTTTGTGGAAATAATTATAAATGCAAACGCTTGAACGTTAGAAAATATTTGTTAATATCTGTGTATCTATCAGCCAATTTACACCTTTCTCCCTCGCTTTACGCCTAACACTTCCCCTCTCCTCCCTATCCCCTCTTCTCCCATCTTTCTTCCTCTCTCCCAAGCCCGCCAGTTATCCTCTTTTGTCCCTTATCCTATCCTTCTCTTTCGCTCTTTACCCTCTCCCCAAATCTCATCTGCTATCATTCCCTTTCCTTTCCTCTCCACCCTGTCTCTTAGTCTCCTCGCCTGAGCTTTACTTTCCACACACTCTCCAAATCACACACTCGCATACATCCTAATTATTCAATGTAAGAGCTCCCTCTGGTTTCTTCATTCTGAGTACATGGTCTCACTGTCGTTTCTCTTCTTACATGGCTATAAAACCGCTCTGGTTGTTCCTTAGTTTTTGTAACAAAGTCATTTTCAAACTGCCTCTCAGCTTCTCTCCTAATTCTGGTGTATTAATTACATTATCACCATTAACACATTTTCTATCCTTAACTTCCAACTACTGTAACATTTTCACTACACACTCTCTGCATCACTATAATCAAAATTATGTGCCCAGAGAGCAAATGTCACCTGAACATTTATTTTGTAATGAATGTTCACATCCAACGTCCATTTTGCACTAATGTGAAAATGTTTAACTCAATGGTCCTTTCTTTGAACATATGATATCCGCTGACTTCGTGAAGAGAGTGTGGAGGCCAATTCTCCATCAAGGGGTGGCAGTGGAGTTGTCCCCAACTACCCTCGAATATTATCCAGCTTGAAGAACAAATCCACAAGGGCCGTGACGAGGATTCGAACCTGCGTTCCAGAGCATCCCAGACGATGCCTTAATCGACTGAGCTACGACATGGTAAAAGGAGTTGAAACCGAAGTTCTACTGAACTTACTGGATCCTAAGAACATAAGAACATAAGAACAAAGGTAACTGCAGAAGGCCTATTGGCCCATACGAGGCAGCTCCTATTCTATAACCACCCAATCCCACTCATATACTTGTCCAACCCGTGCTTGAAACAATCGAGGGACCCCACCTCCACAATGTTACGCGGCAATTGGTTCCACAAATCAACAACCCTGTTACTGAACCAGTATTTACCCAAGTCTTTCCTAAATCTAAACTTATCCAATTTATATCCATTGTTTCGTGTTCTGTCCTGTGTTGATACTTTTAATACCCTATTAATATCCCCCCGGTTATGTCCATTCATCCACTTGTAAACCTCTATCATGTCACCCCTAACTCTTCGCCTTTCCAGTGAATGCAACTTAAGCTTTGTTAATCTTTCTTCATATGAAAGATTTCTAATTTGGGGAATTAACTTAGTCATCCTACGCTGGACACGTTCAAGTGAATTTATATCCATTCTATAATATGGCGACCAAAACTGAACTGCATAATCTAAATGGGGGCCTAACTAGAGCAAGATATAGCTTGAGAACCACACCAGGTGTCTTGTTACTAACGCTGCGATTAATAAATCAAGTGTCGATTTGCCTTATTACGAACATTTATGCATTGATCCTTTTGTTTTAAATTCTTACTAATCATAACTCCCAGATCCCTTTCGCAATCCGACTTCGCAATCACAACACCATCTAGCTCGTATCTTGTAACTCTATCATCATTACCTAACCTCAGAACTTTACATTTATCAGCATTAAACTGCATCTGCCAATCCTTTGACCATTTCAAAACCCTATCTAGATCAACTTGAAGTGATAGTGAGTCCTCCTCCGAATTAATTTCCCTACCGATTTTCGTATCATCGGCAAATTTGCAAATGTTGCTACTCAAACCTGAATCTAAATCATTTATATATATTATAAACAACAGAGGTCCCAGGACAGAGCCTTGAGGCACTCCACTTACAACATTTTCCCACTCTGACTTGATTCCATTTATACTAACTCTCTGTTTCCTTTGGTATAGCCATGCCCTAATCCAGCTTAATATAGCACCCCCAATACCATGAGACTCTATTTTTTTAATCAGTCTTCATGTGGCACTGTATCAAAAGCTTTGCTAAAGTCAAGGTATACAACATCGCAATCCTTACCACTATCAACTGCCTCAACAATGCTAGAATAAAAAGATAACAAATTTGTTAAACATGAACGGCCATTTATAAAACCATGTTGCGACTCAATTATTAATTTATGTTTTCAAGATGAAGACGAATTTTATTTGCTATTATAGATTCGAGTAACTTTCCCACAATAGACGTTAGGCTAATTGGTCGATAGTTAGACGCAAGTGATCTATCTCCTTTCTTAAAAACTGGTATCACATTAGCAACTTTCCAAAACTCTGGCACTCTGCCTGACTCTATTGATTTATTAAAATATGGTTGACAGTGGGTCACAAAGCTCCTCTTTGCATTCTTTAAGCACCCTAGCAAACACTTCATCCGGCCCTGGGGATTTGTTTGGTTTGAGTTTTACTATTTGTTTAAGAACATCCTCCCTGGTAACTGCTAAACTCGTCAACCTGTCCTCGTCCCCACCCACATAGACTTGTTCGGCTGAAGGCATATTGTTAAGTTCCTCTTTAGTAAATACAGATACAAAATATTTATTAAAAATACTACTCATCTCTTCATCACTATCTGTTATTTGACCTGTCTCAGTTTTAATGGACCTATCCTTTCCCTAGTCTTAGTACGATATAACTGAAAAAACCCTTTAGGATTTGTCTTTGCTTGCCCTGCTATGCGAACTTCATAGTTTCTTTTTGCTTTCCTTATCTCTTTTTTAACATTTCTAACCAGTTGTACGAATTCCTGTTCTAAAGTGACCTCCCCATTTTTAATCCTTTTGTACCAAGCTCTCTTTTTACCTATAAGGTTCTTCAAATTCTTTGTTATCCACTTTGGGTCATTAGTATACGATCTATTCAATTTGTATGGTATACTACGTTCCTGTGCTTTGTTTAGAATATTCTTAAATAAGTTATATATTGAATCCACGTCGAAATCCCCATTTAAGTCACCTATCGCTGGGTTCATGTCTCGCTCCAAGACCGGCCCACACCCCATACCCAAGCCTTTCAATCAATTTGACCCAAAAAATTTCTTAGGCTATTAAAATCAGCTTTTCGAAAATCTGGCACTTTAACAGAATTTTCTCCTACTGGTCTATTCCATTCTATGCTAAATCTGATTTCTTTCTGCAGCCTCTCACAGGCACAAACGAGAGTTTTACACAACTCCCCCCATGCACTCGTTCGTAATAAGGCAAATAGGACACTGGGATTTATAATCAAAGCGTTCGTAACAAGACACCTGGTGTTATTCTTCAGCTATATCGCTCTGGTTAGGCCCATTTAGATTATGCAGTTCAATTTTGGTCGTAATACTATAGAATGGATATAAATTAATTGCATTCACTGGAAAGGCGAGAGTTAGGGGTGACCTGATAGAGGTTACAAAGTGGATGAATGGACATAACAAAGGAGATATTA